GAAGGGGGCAGTGCAGCTGTGACTGGGGACCGAGATCGCGGAGACAGGGCGGGTCAGCAGTCGGCCGGGTGGGGCGTGTGTTGTTTTCTAAGGAGCCCCGCTGCGCCCCCCAGGGGCACAGGTCGTGGGGGGCCTCCTGGAAGAGGAGCTGGGTCAGCCTGGCTTCCCGTGGCTTCTGAGGATGGGGTGCAGGGACACAGCTGGGGGCCCCACTGCGCCCCCACAGAGGGTCCCCTGTGTGGCCTTGGCCTTGCCCCAGGCAAGACTGCTCCCCTGGCCCGGGCAGCCCCGCCACCTGGCACTGACTCGGCTCCCTGCTGGGGGAAGTCCTCCCCGTTTCCAGACCCGGGAGGTTGCCTCGGCAGCCAGAGTTCCCCGAGATTCTCCGGCTGCCTGCACGTCAGCACCCGCAGCCCCTGCCATGTGGCGCGCTGAGTTATGACTCTTGGCTCACTCGGCTGCCCAGAGCTAGAAGCACACCCGGCACCCCAGTCGGTCGGGCCCAGCACTTTCTTCTGGCGCAGCAGACAGACGAGCGTTGGCCTGGGCTGAGCCGGCCGCAGCCCTTCCCCACTTCCCCACGCCGGACCCCCGGCCGCGGCCCTTCCCGAGTCCTCCTTGCGCGTCTCCTTGGCGCGAGGAGGCGGCTCCTTCCTGCAGTGGCTGCCCCGTGTCGCCGACGAGACGCAGGAGGCTGGGGAGGCTCAGGGTTAGGCTGGGTTTCTTTCCTGCCCCAGTCTCGTCCTCGGTCTCTCGACTGTGGCTCCGTCAGTAACAGAAGGGCGTAGAGCCGCCGTGCTCGAAGCCGTCCCGGAGACGGTCTGATCGAAGCCTTAGATGTTTGCGCAGCCGAAACCGAGGGCCAGGCCGCCTGGGTTCCGTTCCCTGTGCGGCGGACGACTTGCTCCGCGGCGTGGCCTCGGTTTCCCCGTCTGTAGAGTGGGGATGAACATGTTACCTGCGGATGTGGGAACTATTCGCCTGTAGGTAAGTGTGTTCCCGGGGGACCGCTGTGAAGACCGGATGGTCTCATCGCGAGGACCTAGCGCTCCGCCGGACTCACGGTAAGGGCTGCCAGCGTCCCTCGCTGTTGTGAACGGTCAGCGTAACCTGCTGCCTCGGTGGCTGAGCTGGGGCCCCCGCCTCTGGGTGCAGCGTGCTTCCCCGTGGACGTAAATAAGAATTATAAAGCTCTTTTCTGAGTCAGCTGCTATTAAGTCCTTTCCTCGGCTTCTCCTTTGGTAAAGACAATCACGAGATCACGTGGCTCCTTTCTCGAGGTGAGGGGACGCGCTGTCCGAGCCCCCCCTGCCCCCCATCTGCGAGGGCTTCCGGAAGGGGTGCCTCCCTTCCATCACTTACGCCGCTGCCGGGCGGCCTCGCCCCGGGCGCTGGAGTGGTCCCAGGGCAGCGCCGGGCTTTTCACGCTGACCGCAATGCCCTGCACTTCCCGGCATGAGTGGGTGCAGTGGCGTCGGGCCTGGGCTGGGCTTAAAAGCGATGGAAAATCCCGGGGCAGCCGGCGAGGAGAGACTCACACTTGTCTGCCCGCGCACAGGACTCCAGATGACCCTCCGGGGCTGGCTCCTGCGGTAGGGGACGCAGCACCTGGGCACCGGCGGGACACCTGGGGCCGGTGAGCAGGTGAGCGCCACACTCAGCCACGCACGGGAGTCCGAGGGCGCAACCCCGTGGGTGAGGCCTCTCCTCCTCCTCCGACGTCGCGGGTGTCTTTCCTGCTCCTCGCAGGCGAGCGGGGGTGGGAACTCACCGCACGAGCTAGGCCCGGGCAGACGGGTGGGGGCGGCCACGAGGCACCCAGGCTTTGGGTAGCCAGGCTCCCAGGCACCCAGGCTCTGGTGTTTCAAAGTGCCGGGGTCGGGCTGGGGGCTCACAGGGGACAGAGGCGAGGGGCTGGGGCACATGAACAAAGTGCATTTGTTCTGCCTGGACACTGGAGGCTGGAGAAAATTAGACCCAGGAGAGTCCGAGGAGAACCTGCGTGTGTCCTGGAGTTTGGTGTCGGGGGGCTGAGGGGCGGAAAACCACTCACAGCTACTGCTTGATTTGGGTGGGCAGAGTCCAGGCTCTGGGATAAGACAGTCAGGGGTTCAAATCCCAGCTCCACCACGTGAAACCTATATGGTTTCTGGACTGGCTGCACATACCACTGCTGAGCCAACAAACACTTCAGGGTTTTTGGAAGGACAGGAACGATTTGTGTGATGTCACTGGCGTCCTGTAGACTCGGGACTGCGTTTTGCCGGCCCCGCCGCCGGCCATCTCCCAGCGGTCTCCGCGCGGGGCAGCCCGCGCCTCCCAGGGGCACAGGCTCCGAGACCGAACGTAGCTGACGGCGGCTTTTAAAGATGCCTGGGACGTGCTGGCCACAGAGCGTTCTGCCGGCATCGGGAGTGCCCCGCAGTCCCTCAGGGTCCGCGTGCGTCTCAGACGGACCAGCACCGTGGCTCCGGGGTTTCTCCTAAGGGGGGGGGGGCTCCTGAGGCCCACGCTCGGCGGCTGTCAGGCACACGGCGCGGTCTCGGTAGCGCTGGTCGCTGGGCGACGGCCCCGAGTGTCCCCTGGGGCTGGGCACGCCATCCGCCGCCTCGTCCGGAAAGAGCGAGGCCGTCCGTCCCTGGGCCGACCTGGCCGGCGCTGGGCTGTTCTCCACGTAAGAGCGGCAACGCCGGGAGGTCCCCTGAAAACCTGCCTCGCTGGTCTCGGCGGCGACGCGGCTCACGCAGGCATGGAAGTGCTCGGCGGACAGCAGGCCGCTGCCGTCGTCACGGCTCTGCCCTTGAAGGAGAGTGTGACCCGGGCCCCCTGGGCCGGGTCGACGGGCGTGGGGCTCGGGACCGGCTCCCCCTGGTCTGCGAGCCGCGGGCGGCTGGGCGGCTGGTTCCCGGCCCACAGGCCGCCAGCACACAGGAGCGCAGTGAGCGCCGGCGTGTGTGGGGGAACGCAGGGCCCGCCCGAGGGGAGCCCCGCCCCGTGGCACGGCTCTGTGCAAGTGACGGCAGATGGAACTCCTTGGCGTCCAGGACGCAGTGCTGGGTGGGAATTCCTGAACCTCGAAGGACAGCCGCGGGGGGCGGGGAGGTCGGGGGCGGGGGTGTGACCGGGCCTGGCTGGCGAGCACCACAGCCGCACTCCGTTCTCGCGCCTCGGCCTCCTGAGACAGGACGTGGGAGGCAGGGACAGCACGCCAAGACTCTCAGCATCGCTGGCCGGGTCCTCCGTCCCCTTGGGCGCTCGGGGCCCCCTCTGGGCGTGTGTGTCTCTGCAGGTGGGTCAGTGCCTCTCCACCCCCCCCCCCCAACTCGGATCCCCGAGGCCCGGGGCGCAGCGCCTCACCCTGCCGGCTGCGTCCCCCAGCCTCCGGCCCCCTCTCGTTGTTCAAGACCAGGGACCTGGAAGGCAGGCAGAGGCACAGGCTGCTGTTCAGCCCAAGCACCGCACGAGTGGCCAGCTGGCACCGGGCGCCCGCGAGCAGGCGAAAGCCGGGGAGAATTCGTGAGAACGCCGGGGCGGCGGGGTGGGGCCGTCTCCGGCGCCGGCTGTCAGCCGCCGCAGCCTTCCCGCCCTGCCTCTCGGTGAAATTGATCCCGAGGGGTTTTTTTAATTTCACGAATGATTGGTGAGTAATCTCATTGTAAAGGAGCCAAGCACTCATTACCACCAATTAAAAATATTTTATATGCTATTCTTCCTCTCAATATTTAATATCGGAACATTTAAAGCGTGTGCACAGCCCGTCGTCACAGACTCCCACCGTAGCTTTGGTGCCTAGACGTGTTCTCGCAGCCGCTCGCCCGAGACCCTGGGTGTCCGTCTCCCCAGCCACGGCCACGGCCCCGGTCCTGGTCAGCCGCCCTCCCCCCTGGGGGCCTGCAGGGCCTGTGCGGGCTCGCCTGCTGGCTGCGAGACGGAGGGTGAAGACAAACAGTTCTGAACAGTGAGTGCTCAGCAGAGCCACTCGGGGAACAGTTTGTTTTCAAAGAGCACGCTCGCTCTTCGCTGGGAAGCGGACACGCCGTCTGCAGGTCGGAGCTCGCGGCCCCTGTGGCCGGAGATGCCGCTCTGGTTGCCAGGTTCTCGCCGGGCAGGCGTTTTCGCGGAGTGAGGGGTCTCAGCTGGGCTGCCGGGAGACTGCGGGCCCTCTGCCTCCTGTGATGCCTGGGGGGCGGGGGGTGCCCTTCGCTGCTCCCCCCCCCGACTCCCCAGGGTGAGGGGGGCAGCAGTGTGCTGCCCTACTTCACCCACAGACAACGCGGGACGTCTTCCTCGCACCAGGCGCCGCGTCAGTGGGAAGGCTTCCGAGAGGACCAGCCCCAGTCTTCCGCCCGTGAGGAGCCACCTCCGCGGAGGAGGCGACAGGTACGGCAGGTACGCCGCTCGGAGCCATTCCGCAGGCGTGCCCGCCCTGCGGCCCGGACGGCGGGGACTGAGGAGGGGCCCGGGCCGGGCTGGCCAGTGCCTCGGGGGAGCCCAGGGAGCGTGGTCGGGGGAGGCTGGCTGTGGGGTGGCTCTGGAAAGGGGGGTAACTTGCCGGGATGGGGGAGAGGGAGGGTCTCCCAGGCAGGAGGAACCACCAGCGCAGAAGGTGGAGAAATGAAACACCACGGTGCTTTCAGGAAGGGGGGGCGTGGGGCGGGGTGCGGGGGCCAGGCGGTGCCCGAGGGTGGGCGCAGCGCCGGGAACCCCCAGCGCTTCCTCTCCGGAGCGTGTTCCGGCGACCGGTGCGCCTGCCGCGCCGCACGGCGGCCAAAGTGTGGACGAGGTGAGGTGTCAGCCGGGGCTGGCGGGTAGTTACAGCAGGTCTGCGAGGTGGCTGCCAAGAATAGATGAAAAAACGGAGGGCTCGAACCTAACCCTCAGAGCCCTCGGCCTCCGTGCGTCCCTGCAAACAGAGCTGTCGGAGAGAGAGAGGAGCCGGCGGACTGCTGACCCCCGACCTTTCCAGGTCCCTCCCCGGCCTGCCGGCGTCCGCGGGGACCATGTGGGCCTGGGCACTGTGGCTGCTGCCCCTCCTCTGCAGACCCACCGGGGCAGGTAGGTTGGCCCCCGCGGCTCACGGGTCTGATCTTCTTCGGACGGGAATTGTTCTCTCGAGAGCAGAGGGGTGCCTGGATGGGGGGCACCGGCAACGGGGCAGCGGGGCATCTGCGGGCGCCCCGAGTTTGTGCGGGTGCGGGTTCGGCAGGACGGCCCAGCTGATGACCGCCCCCCCCAAAAGGTCCACTGCTTTAGGGGAAGATCAGGGCTTGTTTCAGTCGTGTCTGTGTGAAGTGGAGTGATCCCGCATAGAACACACAGAGAAACAAAAACACGTCAATTCCCCGTATTTGCATTCATCCCAAGAATATAAAGGAAAATGATGACCCCCCCGCCTCCCCCCCCACCACGCATGTACTGTGGTCCAGCTCAAGACCGTGCCCGCAGAGCTGAGATTCACCCCACCCCCCGGATGGTGAAGAGTTTCTTCCAGGCCCGAGGGGGGTGGGCTGGGGCGCAGGGAGGGTGGCCCAGAGCCTGTTGGGGCTGCTGATGTGGACGCCCCAGGCCGGGGGCGGTCAGCAGCGGAAGTTCTGTCCTCACCGCTGTGGAGGCTGCCAGGCCAAGGTCAAGGTGTTTGCGGGGCCGGCTCCTCCGCCATCTCTCTCCTCCGCTCGCTGGTGACCTCTGTCCGGCTGCTGCTTTAGAGGGTCCTCCCTCCGCGTGTCCCAGCCTCCTCTCCCCGGAAGGCCGCCAGTCGAAGGGGTGGGCGTTTTGACTGACACCCCCGACGGGCCCCGTGTCCACCTCCAGCCACCCGAGGCCCCTGGGGGCTGGGGCTCGGACGCGTGGATTTGTGGGTGCGGTCCAGTGCGCAGTGTGTAGAAATCGGGGGTCGCCACAGGGGCATCCAGGACCCCGAGGTGATGAGAATGCTCCTCAGGCCTCCGCCCTGGCCGGCCCCTCCTCCCCCCGGGGCTCCGCCCAGGGAGCCCCTCCTGGCCAGCTCAGCACCCGCAGTCACCCCGTGACCCCCCTCGGGTCCCAGCCTCGGGCCCTGTGGCTCCCACCACTCGCCGGCTCCCTCAGCCGTCCTGTTCCGTCCCCGTCTCCGTCCCCTCACCGCCCGTGCTCACGCCGTCTCCTGCATAACTGGCTCCCGTGTGCACCTGGCTTCCCTTGTAGAACATTCTTCCCTGGCCTCTGCTCAGACTTGCTCTTCGGTTTCAGGATGCTTTTTAGAGCGCTGACTTTAGAACAGCCGTGGGCCCAGGGAGGAAGGGGAAGGAGGGTGGGCACCGTCTCACTCGGGACAGCTTCCCTCTCGCCTGTGGGGGCCTCTCTGACAGGCAGGGACATGCCCCCCCCCCCCCGTCTTCCTCCGGGAAAAGCTCACGGACGTTTCCCCTTCTTTTTGCACACGGGGGGTGGGGGGGAGCAGCCCTTTCTGGAAGCGCAGGAGTGTGGTGACGGGAGTGTTTGGGGGTGGGGGGGGAGGATGGACGCGTGGGTGGGGTGGATGTAGCCTTCGGTCGTCCCTTTTCAACTGGCGTGGGACCGAGTCGAGACGCGTGGGGAGGCTGGGCGGGCAGCACGGGGGGCGGGGGGGGGTGGGCTGGCTCTTACGCGCCCTCATTCTGTCCGGCCACTGCACCCGAACTCGACACCCAGCCGCCGCTCGGGGACGCTGTGCCTCCGTCTTCCTGGCGCAGGGCCCTGCCTCCTGGGGCAGAGCCGAGACGTGCACGGCCCCGGTTGGCCGTGCAGAGGACACGGGACGTCCTTCTCCTCCGAGACCCAGCCGAGGAGTTTCAGAGGGTCCCCACCTCCGGGAAGCCAGGCAGGGCTGAGGAGGTGAGGGGCAGGTGGCACTTCCGTTCCTCAGTGTCGTCGCGGTTCTTCTTGCTCACCGGGTCTCCCCCTGATTCAGTCTCTGTGGGGTGAGTGACCGCTCTCCGCCCCCCCACCGCTGCCCGAGATGCTGTCTGGGTCCAGGGCGGGTTTGTGTGACTTCCCAGAATCGGCTGGGGCCCCCGAATCTGTCTGTGGGGGTCCTGTGTTGCCCTCGCCCTTCTCTGGACTCTCTGCTGCCCTCTGGCCCCTGGCCGTCCCCCGAGGGACAGCGGCTCTGCCTGGGCGTCGGTTTGTCGTCTGACTCCCGAACTCCCCGCCCTGAAGTCCCGCTGTGCGGGAGCCCCAGCCGGGCCAGCCCAGCCGGCCAGCCCAGCCGTGCTCATGCTCCCCTCCCCGGCCCCGGACCCAGGAGAGCCCTGTGACACTCGCCTGCCCTGCCCGCGACCCGCCCCAGGACTCACCTTGCTGGACGCGGGGGCCTTTCCCCACCTCTTCTCCGGTGGGGGCTGCCTTCCTGGGAACGCTGGGCTTCGCTCTGCTGGCAGCAGTTGTCTCCTCCTCCTCCTCTTAAGAACTCCTGCGTCCTAAGGCCACGGCCTTGCCGGGGCTCAGACAGGTGTGGGTTCGAGCCTCAGAGTGGCACGCTGTCCTCAGTCTGGAACTGCCCCCCGCTCTTACCCGTGTGCCCGTGCGTGTGTGGGCGGTGACCCCACGGACTCGGGGCGGGGGGTGCAGAGAACGGACCTGACCAGACGTGTAATACGGGGGGCGATTCGTGGCCTGGTGACATACGTGCCTCCTCTTTGACGCAGCAGCGAAGGAGACCTGGTCGTCACAGTCGTTAGGGACGGTGACGAGAGCGTTTGATAGGTCAAGGTGTCCCTCCCCCACACGTGCGTGTCACGGGACGACAGCCGACACACACGGCAGCAGAGGCACAAGGAGGGCCGTCGCCGTGAGCGGGTGACCACGCTCACGAGCGGAGGACACGGCAGGTGTTAGTGGCAGATTAGAGGGACGTGAAGACGGAAGCACCTTCTGGTTCAAGGTCACACGCCCCGGGTTTCTGCCTCCGGGCGTGTGCAGGGTGCAGATCCCGGTGCTGAGGGAGCTTCTGCTCCCCCGGGGAGGGGTGGGTGCTCCTGGGTGTGGGGGGGTGGGGGCTGCGAGGAGGGAGGTGGCTGAGACAGGACCCCACGGCCGCAGGCGTCTCAGAGGCGTCCTCTGTGTCACACGCTCGTCCGGGGGGCCTGGTGCTGTTCGAGGCTGGGGTACGGGGAGGCTCGACATTTTCACGCCCTTCCTCCTCCTCCTCGCCCATTGCCCGGTTATCCGGAGTGGCTCCGTCATTCGCTGCTTTGCTCCGCCTGGTGTTTAAATACGATTTTGGGGCTGGGTCCTGTCCTCGGTCCCCACTGGGAGGAGCTGCTGCTGCGCCCGGCCACGCGCCCACAAACCCAGCGTGGGACCGGCCTGTTCTCATCGAGATGCGCGACGCTCCCGAAGTTCACTGGGCGCTGACGTCGCTGTGTTTGTGTGTGTGTGTGTGTGTGTAGCTCTGCCGGCGAAGCCCGAGAACATCTCCTGCGTCTACTACTACAGGAGAAACTTCACGTGCACCTGGAGTCCGGAGAGAGGCGACAACCACACGTGGTACCAGGTGACGAGAAACCGGTAAGTCCCGGAGCCTGCGTGCTGTCGGTGGGGGAGGAGATGTGTTTCCAGTCACAGCTTCCAGGCAACCACCACGGTGTCCAGTGGCCGGCTACCCGCAGCCCTGTGGACTCGCAGGGTCAGAAACGATGGGGGAGGGAGGCGGAGGCACCTGGCTGGGCTGAGGGCAGTCCCGGTCGTGCACACGGTGGACAGATCTGTGTGTTTACTGTACTCAACCGCATTCTTCCTCTTCCCAGAACGTGTGATAAAACTGTCCACGCTCCGTGGACCCAGGTGTAGTGGGAGGGCACCCTGCCCGCCACCAGTTCGCCCTGTGGCCCCTGTCCTCAGACTCCCACCAGGACCGTGGGCTCCAAATTTGCACTGCCTCAAGCCTCCCTTTTTATTCCAATTCTATCGGAGTAAAAAATAACAATTTTTTTTATCATACTTCTGGCTAAAAGCTGGGTGTTTCAGTGAGTGTGCAGAGGGGTGTTTTAACTCCTGAAAGCAGCCCCCGAGACGTGCAGTGTGTGTCACGGCCCAGGGGCCCGTGCTGGGCACTGGGGGCGGGCGGTCCTGCTGCAGGTTCCATTTCAGAAAGAGCATTTCTCGTTCCAGGTTTTCATTCCTTTGTGTTTTTAGATGCAGGACCTCGTGTCTGCTTCTGTTTTGTCTTTCCTTGGGACTGGTGACTGGCGTGGGGGGGTCCGCTTGAGTCTCACAGAAGGAGGGGGGAGAGCACCCCGTGTGCCCTGAGGCCCTGCTGCGTCAGGGGTGGGACTGAGACACGGGTCAGGACGGGGACCACCAGAACTTTCCCGTGAGAGCCAGAGAGTGAGCCCTCTAGGTGTCCAGGGAGGTGGCCCGTCACACTGGCACCAGACGCGTCCGCTGTAGCAGGAGCGCGCTGTCGACTGGGCGTGAGCCGGAGGGCCCGCCTCCACCCACACCTCCTTCACAGACCCTGGCGTTTGAGTTTCACATAAATTTTCACAAAATAGTCTTTTTATTTCTTCCATTTATTTTTAACCATTTAACCATGAGCAACCTGTCCTTGCCTGCGGGCCCTACTAGAATGCGTGCTGGCCCTGCTGTTGAAAATAAGGATGACAAAGACCCACACAAGCCACAAGACCCCCCTGCCCCGCACCCACCCCCCGCCCGCCCACACGTGCTGGGAGACCTCGAGTCTGGGAACTTCGCTGGGTTCACTCGCAGTCTGCTGTTTTACGTACTCCTGCCCTCTCCTTCCACCTGGCTTCCTGCGGGCGGCCGTTACCGTCTCCAGCTGCTGTGTGGAGCCAGGAGCCCCTGGGTGTCCTCAGACCGGTGTCAGCCCCCTCAATGGCTCCGGGCTGTGAGGCTCCCAGGACGCCCACCCCGGCTCCTGCTCTTGTGTGGGGGTCACCAAGGACCTCTCTCTGGGGCAGAAGGGCAGGGCTTCCTTGCAGAGGGTGGGCTCTGAGAATGGGTGGCGGGGTGGCGGCATGAACGGACGTCCTGCTGACGGCAGGAACAGCAGGGATTGACTTTTCCTCGGGGACGAGGGGCAGTTGGGGGCCTTCACGGAGGCAGGGGCTCCACCCTGGACTGAGGAGCCGCGGAGGCGCAGCAGCGGGGAGGGGGGTGTCCTTCTGAGGTCACGGCAGGAGTGATGCGCAAGCCCTCCACGTGGTCACAGCACAGGCAGCCGTGACGTGGGACGAGGTGTCGCATGTGGGTCCTGTGCCTGACTGCCCCTCATCCTTGTGACCGCCCCGGGTGCCTGCCCTGGGTCACAGGCGTGTCACTCTTCTCATTACAGAGATGAGGAGTTGGGGTGCAGACTGCAGACGCAGTGAGAAATGGGCCAAGGTGTGCGTTAATGGGGCAGAGTCAGGACTCCAGCCCAGTCCCCGCCCAGAGCCTGGGCCTGTCCCCTGACCCAGCATGGCCCTGGGGGCGTGTTCCTGCCATCCCAAAACAAGGACAACCCTTGCAGCTCTTTCTACTCCCAGACTCCACCTCTCCCTGAGCCCTCGCCCCACCCCCGGCCCCACCCAGCAAATGTGGCACCTGTGACATGTCCCCTCTCTGTCCTCGGCCACCCCCCTGTCCTGCTCACTCCCCGGGCTGCGACTGCGGCTGGGCCCCGCGGGCCCCGGCAGGGTGTGCGCCTCTGTGCGCCAAGTTACAGCCTCACAGGGTTTACACGACCTGCCTGGTAATTCATTGGATTACTTGCCTATTTAATAAATTTCCTGTCGTGAATTTCAATGAGTCTTCTGAAGACAATATACACCAATGGCACAAAATTCAACCTGAAAAATAGGAAGAATGTAAAATGGCGCCCAGACCCCGTCCCAAAGGCGACAACGTCAGCATTTTGACAGAGGCCTTTGTGGACGCCTCCAAGAGCAGTTCCTCGGAGACGAGACTGCTCTGGGCATGACGTGTGTCCTGCTGTTTCTCACCAACACTAGACGGAGTGCGGGCACCTCTCCATACCCGTGCCTATGAATGACTGAAAACGGCCGCTTTAAGTTCTGTGTCTGTATCTGCCCTAATGGAGTTAACAGAGCCTCTTTGTTTTTTTCCTATTAAAAACAAGTCCCAAGGCTGGAATCTGGGGCCTGTTTGTTATTTGTTACCAATAGGAGATGCACGACGGTGCCGCCTTTGATGGACTCACGGGGGCCCGAGGAGGTCCCCCATGGTCTCCGGCGTTCCAGGCAGGCGGGACGCAGTGGGCTTTGGTCTCCCCCAGAGGCAAGGATTTGGGAGAGAGGGGTCTCGAGGTCTGGTCTGCCCGGCTCCCCAGAGCAGTGCAGACCGAAGTGAACACATGCATGCGGAAACACGTTCCGTGTGGCTCTGTTAGAAGCTGCTGAACTCAACCCGTGTCCAACCATGTTTCCCTTCAAAGCACCCTTGGAAAAGTCATCGACTCCTGTAATTCCACAAGTGAGGGTCCTGCTTCCTGCTCTTTCTTCCATCTGGTCTCGTACCCAGAAACGTACACCATTCGAGTGCAAGCTCAGAACGCGGATGGGACGGCCGAGTCCGATGTCACCGTTTGGGACTTGGGTGAGACATGTAAGTTATTGAGTGGCTTGTGCACTTTTTCCTTAAAAAAAGATGCCCCCCCTTTCAAAGAGATACCTGTGGACTCAAAAGTAGACTCAAAGACCAAGGATATAGTGGGTGCGTTTTAGGCATAAACGAAAAATTTGTCTTCTTATCGGAGCAGGAATGGAGAGAGGGAGGGAGGGAGGGAGGGAGAAAGGGAAGAAGGGAGAGATTGGCCAGATTAAAAACAAAGAACGAGAAAAGACGTTTTTCTGGTCCCTCATGTCTTCCTGCAGTTTGCACCGTAAATTGTACTGAAAGAAGCAGTTTTCCCCTTGAAACGCCATTGCTCATGTAGGAAAGGAAAGGAAAACTCTTCTTTAAAAAATGTCTCACTAGTTCTTATTTTCACTTCTTTCTCAAAACTCATTTTCATCACATAATTTTTAAACAAGAGCTTGGCTGAGATGTAATTCAGACGCTGCGAAGTTCCCGTTCCGCAAGTGACAGCTCGGCCTTCTGCCGCGTTCACCAGGCTGGGCACGCACCTCGCCCCAGAGCATCTCGTTACCCCCCGAAAAGACGTTTCACACCCGGGTCCTGACCTCCCCTCCCCCTGCCCTCGGGCGACCTCGGATCCGCCTTCTGTCCCGGCGCATTCGCCCGTGTCTGACACTCCGTAGACGTGGAAAGCTACGTTGTGGCCGTCGCACTGGGTTCCTTTCCCTTCCCGTCACGTTTCCAAGGGCACCTGCAGCCTCGTCAGAGCCCGTCACTCCCTGTGTAGCCGAGGATCGCCTCGGCTCGGGGAGAGGCCGCACACCGGTCGGCGGGAATCGGGGCCGCTCTGACTGCTGGCCCTTTCGAACGCCGCTGCTATGAGCATCCGTGTACGGATTTCTGTGTGGGCACGTCTCAGTCCTCTGGGACAGGCGCCTAGTGAAACGGCATGGTCACAGGGTAGCTTCCTCTTCTGCGTGCCGAAGATCTGTCAAACGTCCCCCAAGGGGCCGCGCCGTCGTCCTTCTGCACCAGCGACGGTGAAGGCCCCGGCGTCTCCACACCCAGCTCGGGCAACGGGCCATCGTCCTGACGACCGGGGCCGGGCCGGCCGCGAGGCGGCAGCCTCTGTGGTTCTCTCATCTGCACCTCCGATCATTAATGCACGATGCTGGGCATCTCATCATGTGCCACTCAGCCGCTGGTGCACTTTTTTTGGAGAAACGTGTCCCCTACCCCTTTGCCCGCTTTTGGAGTGTCTCGTCTGTGTACCGCTGAGTGTTCGGCGTTCTCTCAGCGGTCTGGGGACAGGTTCCTTATCAGATACATGATTTTCTCCTATTTCCTCCCTTTCTGCCAGCTGTCTTTTTAATTTCTTGATGGTGTCCTTTGAAACAGGAAAAAATTTTGATGAAGTCCAGTTTATTTGTTTTACTGGGTGTGCTTTCTCAGATCTAAAAAAAAAAAATTGCCTAACCAGGAGTCACGAAGATTTACGGCCGCATTTTCTTCTGAGCGTTTTATAGTTTTGGCTCCTGCGTCTGGTTCTTTGTTCCATCCCGAGTGCGTTTTGTACGTGGTGTGCGGTGGGTGTCAGACCTCGCCGTTTTGCTCGGGTCTCCCCGGTTGTCTCGGCGTCCCTCGCAGAAAAGGTGGTTCTTTGCCCCATCAACTGGGCTGGCACCCCTGTCAGAACCCGCCCACTGGGAGGGGGAGGGGTTTCGCGTGGGCTCTCAATGCTGTCCCTCTGACGCGTGTTTCCACTTTGTGCCAGCGTCACACTGTCTCGGCTACTCCAGCTTTATGGTGAGTTTTGAAATTGGGAGAGGGAGTCCTCCATTCTCATCGTTTTTCAAGATGATCTGACTGTTGGGTCCCTTGAATTTCCATCCGAATTTTAGGGTCAGCTTGTCCATTACCGCCGAGAAGTCTGCTGGGATTTTGGTAAGCTGTGGATTGCTCTCAATAATGGAAAATCTTCCAGCCCGTGAACACGAAATGTCTATCCACTTATTTAGGCCTTCTCTAACCCCTTTCAATTACGTTTCATAGTTTCCAGTGTACAAGTGCTGCCCCTCTTCCGTTACATTTGTCCCCAAGTACTCTATTATTCTTGATGCTACCGTAAATGGGATTGATTTCTTAACTTCACTTTCAGATTGCTCAGTAGAGTAAACCAATGCAGTCAAGTTTTGTATGCTGATCTTGAAGCCTGCGGCCGTGTTGGGCCTGTGTACGGGGTCTAACTGTGTGTGTGTGTGTGTGTGTGTGTGTGTGTGTGCGCACGCGCCCATTGCTCAGGGTTCTTCTCCATGCAGGACGGTGTCGTGTAAAAATACAGCTTTACTTTGTCCCTTCCAGTCTGGGGCCTCTTCGTCTCCCTTGCCGGGGTGCCCCGTTCAGAGCCACCAGGCACTGTTGAGCGGAAGTGGAAAGGGCAGGCGTTCTCGTCCCGACCTCAGTGGGGGCGCCCCTGCCCAGTGTGACGTCAGCTGTGGGGTTCTGCAGGTCCCCCCCCCCACCGCCTTCTTGTTCCTCGTTGGTGGAGTGCGGTGCCCGCGTGGTTCTGTCCTTCGTTCTACTCAGGTGGTGTGTTCTCTTGACCGATGTTCCTGAGCTACCCAAACCTGGTGTCCTGGGATGTGTTTCACCTGGCTGTGGTGCGCGCTGGCCAATTTGGATGCTAGCTTTTCGTTGAGGGCTTTTTCTTTTATATTCGAGAGGACCGTTAGTCTGTTGTTTTCTTGTGGAGCCTTCGTCGGGCGTTGGAGTCGGGTGATAGCGGCCTCACACGACGAGCCGGGATGTGCCTCCTGCTCCTCCATCATTTTGGGGAGTTTCTGGAGCACTGGCTTGAGAGGGGGCGGCAGGAACCGGGTGCGTGACGTGCTTGGGGGGGAGGGGACAAGCCAAGGACTTTCCTGCCACTTCGAAGGGGACTTTACCTTCACCGGGTTTCCCTTCAGGGGCCGCAGACCTTTGACGGGTCTCCAGAGCTGCAGCCAGAGGAGCCGGAGCGGTTTCTGTGTTCGGTTTTGAGTCTCGTCTCTTTGGGGGACGCACCCGTGGACTCCCCAGGGCGCCGTTCGGCCGACCTCCCTCCGTGTCCATCGGCGCCTCGTGAGCAGTTCCGAGGGCCGCTTCTACTCAGGGCGACAATTAATGACGTATCTCCCTGTCACGCCGGGCAGGCCGGCCCCAGACCCCAGTCTCAGCCAGGCTTCTGTGTGTCCCGGGGCAGGGTCGGCCGGCCTGCAGCCTCCCGGGCGGGCGGTTTCCCGCGGATCTGTCTCCCGCCTGGTGATTTTCCATTCCTCCCAGGCCTGCCGAGGTCTGTCACTCGGTGCTGGCGGCAGGGGTGCGGGGCGCCGGAACCCGCACACTGTCTGCGGGAGCTGCGATTAGTGCAGCCTCACTAGAAAGCACACGGGCGTGGAAGCAGCCCCAGCCGTGTGCATGCCCGCCCCTCCACTTCCAGCCCAGCGGGACCTCAGGAGGCCAGCGCAGACGCAGACAAAGATGCTGCTCTCGCCCACCGAGCCCCTCACTTCACCAGTGTCTGGCGCTGACTCAGCGCCAGCCGGTCATCCTAGGCTTGGCCATGGACAGCGGCTCCTGCTCTCGGGGGGCTTTACGGCGAGAACTCGGAAACTTCAAACGCTCAGCGACCCAGAAAGGTCGGGTCAGCGCTGTGTATCTGCAAGGAAGGTGCAGCGTTATGAAGCTCTGCAGACAATCAGGTTTTGAAGCGTTCTCAATGCCAGGGGGCATGTGCCGATTGCACAGTGTTCTTAAAAAAAAAAGAGGAAGGCGTTGTTTAGCACAGTATCAATGTTGTTGGAAAAACATGCAAATAGCCACATAGAAAAAAAAGCCTGAAAACACACCAGCGTGAACAGTGCCTGTCTCTGAGTGATGGCATTATGGGTAATTTAAAGTTTTTCTTTGTCCTTTCTGTGTTTAAAATTCTTTTGAGTGCGCATACGTTACTTCTATAACCAGGAACCACGTGAACATATTTTCAAAGGGAGAGATTTGGGGTGAGAATGTGTGTCGTGGTCAGAGGCCAGGAGAGGCCGTTTTCTCTGGGGCACGCCTCCGTGGGGGGGCTGGGGGTGAGGAGAGAGGCAGGACGCGGGGGGCGGGAGCAAACACCCCTTTCCTGGCCCAACAGCCTCTTCTTCCATCCTGCCCTGCACGTCCGCCCAAGCAGGGAACGCCCTCCGTGGACATTTGGGGGTTTTTCGGGGTGGGGCTCGGAGCGGTTCTTCAGCACCACCTCCGAGACGCATCTGGGTCCAGCCCACCACACAACAGGCACCGCCATTCCTTTCCCAGGTTTTTTGTTTCTTGTTTCAGTTTTGGGTGGACGCTTTGGGTGCTTCCTCATCTTACTGCTGATATGAGAACTCTGCCTTCTTTACTTTCAGTAAAAGTCGGACCACCCGTGAATCTCAGCGTGCAGCCAGTGCCGGGCGTCAAGCGGATGCTTTGCGTACAGTGGGTGAGGCCCACGCTGGCCCCCCTCTCGGTGGGTCTCAATTACACGCTCCGATTCAGAGCCAACGAGAGTGACCTCTGGGTAAGCGCCCCGTGACCCGTTTCTGCCAGAGGGCCGGGAGCAGGGGACTGTCCGCAGCTGCTGTCGGCCGGCTCTCCGCTCTCCGCGCTGGAAACAGGAATGGGAGTGAGGGAGCCCCCCTTCCGTGCCGGCGCCCGCTGGCCGCGTAGCCGGGGTGGGGGGGGGACGTCCGACTGTCCCCCCTGACTGGGAGTGCGTGGGCCCGCGCTGGAGGGTGAGAACGCCGCTTTGCCGTCCACCCTGGGACCGGCCCAGCTGCCTCGGCTGCCAGCGACTCCCCAGGGCTAGGTTCTTTCCTTTTTTATTTTTCCAACCTTCTTATGACACCCTGATGTATGATGCACGTTTAGAAAAGTGAACAGAAGATCAATATTGCATTGAACAACCTGTTACTGTCCACTTAGTGGTTGGTATAAGCTCCCCTCACCATTACCTGCTCCCCTGAGAGCTAGCAGCTACCCTGACTTCCGGGGAGTTATCAAGAGTCCTTTGCTCTGTGCTGAGAGGCCAGGCCTGCAGCCCTGAACAGCGCGGTTTGGACATGGTACCAACGGAACCCGTACACTGTGCACTCTGCCCACCCCCCTTTTATTGTTGTTCGAGTACCATCGTCTCTATTTCCCCCCCCACACCCCCCTCCCCCCTCCCCCCTCCCCCCTGGACCCTACCCCGCTCTGGCCTTGTCCATGGGTCCTTTACATGCTCCTTGACGGCCTTCCCCCCGTTATCCCCTTTTCCCCTCCCCTCTGGTCGCTGTCAGTCTGTTCTCTGTTTCAGTGTCTCTGGGTTCTGTTTTCTGCTCATTACTGTGTTCTGTTGATGAGGTTCCCGTTAAAGGCGAGATCATACGATATTTGTCTCTCACCTCCTGGCTTGTTTCACTCAGCACAATGCTCTCCAGCTCCACCCGTGCTGTCACAGAGGGCAGGAGCGCCTTCTTTCTCTCTGCTGTGCAGTGTTCCATTGTGCCAATGCTCCCCAGTCTTTAATCCGCTCGTCTACTGATGGGCACTGAGGCTGTTTTCGGCACTTGCCTATTGTAAATAATGCTTCTGTGAACACTGGAGTGTATGAGGTCTTTTGAATTGAAGTTTTGGAATTCTTAGGGTGTATTCCCAGCAGTGGAATCACTGACTCAGCAGGCAGTTCCATTTTTAATTTTCTGAGGCGATTCCATGCTGTTTTCCCCAGCGGCCGCACCAGTCTGCAGTCCCACCCGCAGTGCACCGGGGTCCCCTTTTCTGCACAGCCTCGCCAACACCTGCTGATTTTTTGTTGATTTATTAGTGATAGCTATTTTGGCAGGTGTGAAGTGGTCTCTCCTTGTGTTTTTTATCTGCATCTCTCTGAAGGCTAGTGACGTGGAGCATTTTTCCATGTCTACGGGCCGTCTGCATGTCCTCCTTGGAGAAGTGTCTATTCAGGTTCTTTGCCCACTTTTAAAAATTATTGTATTGTTGTTCAATTACAGCTGTCTGCCTTTACCCCCGCCACTCCCCCCACCCCAGCCATCCCCACCTCCCTGCCCTGCTTCCACCCCGTGTCCTTCATAGTTGTCCCTGAAGACCCCTCCCCCTTCCTCCCTATAGCCCCTCCCACCCTCTCGCTGGTTACTGCCAGACTGTTCTTAATTTCCATGTCTCTGGTTGTATTTTGCTTGCTCGTTTGTTTTGTTGATTAGGTTCCTGTTAAAGGTGAGATCATATGGTATTTGTCTCTCACCACCTGGCTTGTTTCACTTGGCACAATGCTCTCCAGCTCCATCCACACTGTTGCAAAGGGCAGGAGCTCCTTCCTCCTTTCTGCTGCATAGAATTCCATTGTGTAAATGTACCAGAGTTCTTTGATCCACTCATTCACTGATGGGCACTTGGGTTGCTTCCAGCACTTGGTTATTGTACATTGTGCTGCTGTGAACACTGGGGTGCATGGGTTCTTTTGGGTTGGTGTTTCAGGGCTCTTAGGATGTAGTCCCAGCAGTGGGATCACGGGATTGAAAGGCAGTCCCATCTTCAGTTTTCTGTGAGGAGATTCCATGCTGTTTTCCACAGCGGCTGCACGTCTGCATTCCCACCCACAGTGCGCTCTCCAGCAGGAGCTCCAGGCTGGCTGAGGAGTCTGGTTCAGGCTTCGCACCAGAACCTCTGGTGCGTCTCCGAAGGCGGGGACGCCTGGGGTGAGCCGGACTCGGCACAGAGTGTGGACGGCTGGAAACCAGTCAGAGGAGTTGTTTCGGTTGGAATCCGTTGCTTGTGTCGAGCTGTGGACGTTTTAGGTTGAAGTCTGTTTGGAGGGTCAGTGGACCCTGGACGGAAGGCCAGGGGACGAGGGGCCCTGGGGGCACGTGTGTGGGGGGCCCGGCAGCCCTCTCCCGGCATCCAGGCTGCGGGACAGGCCCTGAGCTGTTCTGGGCCGAGCGTGCTGAGCACACCCAGCAGGCAGCCCCCGCCCGTGACTCGGGGACTGGGAGAGCATAGGAAACACCCGGAAGATTTAAAAAACTAGTATCATCATCTATTTCAGAAAGCAGGAAAAGTGAGAGAGGACTTTACTTGACTTCCTTGCACATGGATTACTGTTGTTTGCACTTTCATTTGCCTGTGGACAGCCCTCTTCCGAGGTCTGTCTGCCTCCAGCCGGGCCCCCGACCGCCAGGCCCTGCGGAGGCCCCTTGACCAGAGCCGACAGCTTGTCCCAGACCCATCGTGGGGTTGTTTCCAGCAGCCCCGCCCTGGCCCCGCAGCGCCCCAGGGGCGGCTGGAAGAGGTGCTCCGGGGACCTGGGGCTCGGCACTGACCCAGCCCGGCAGCTGGTCCTACTTACCGGGAGAGGCCAGGTCCCCCTGGGGGGCGAGGACAGCAGGCCCCCCACTGGAGCTGGGCGCTGAGCTCATCGCCACAGACACCCCCACGTTGCCTGGCGACAGGCCCAGAACCTGGGTGCGGTTCTGTGCTGGTCCCCAGGGGCGGCACCCACGCCGGAACTAGCAGGCCTGCGGCCCTGTGGGCTCCGGGCGGCTCCTGTACACGCTCCCGCGTGGACTGCCTGCCAGCGCCGCCGGGGTTTGCTAACCGGCGGAAATCAGTGTAAACCGCAGTGACAAGCACCCCTGGCGGCGGCAGCACGGCCACCACAGAGGCGAACAGCCAAGCCTTTGTCTCTGTTGGGTCCACAGAGAGGTCACAGGTCAGAGACAGCGGCAGGCTCGGCTTCCTGCGTCCTGTGGAGGATGCGGCGCTCCGGGACGGAGCGTTCGTGCATTTTTCTCCCCCGGGAGCCGGAGCGAGTGTCGGAGGGAATGGAGCATCCGGGCCGTGGCCATCGCTGGCAGCTGCCCGGTCGCCCGAAGCCGGTCCTTGGACAGGGAGGCCAGGGAGAAGGCGGCGGGCGTCTGGGACTGCAGGAGCGGGAGCTCCCATCTGCCCCCGCCCGTGGCAGCACTCAGGCCGCCCACGGTCCCCCTGCTGCTCCTCCGGGTGCTGTGCAGACGTGAGGTTGAGCTCGGTGCCCCCGAGGGCACCCGCTGTCCCCCGGGGCCTCCTCTCTAGGTGCCGGCGTCGCCGCCAGGGTCTGAGCTGAGGCCCAGGTGGCCTCACCTCGCTTCTTCCGGAAGCGCAGGCCGGCTTCTCTGCCTGGCACGCTTAGTGGTGGGAAGTGGCGGGGAGTGGTTTTGGGGTCCCCGGGTGTGCGTGGAGGCTTGTGTATGAACACTATACGTCGAAAAGTCTGAGATGCGATGCCGCTGGTTCCGAAACGGTGAGAGGGGCTTGGGGAGCGAGGAGGGAAAGCGGACAGGCTGCTGCTGGTTTCCCACGCGGCTCCGCGCTCTCTGTGCCTTGCAGACGGAGGTCAGCTTCGAGGAGGTGGACGGGGGCCACGGCTACAACCTCACGGGGCTGCGGGCGTTCACGCGGTACATCGTGGCTCTGCGCTGCGTGGCTTCCGAGTCCAGGTTCTGGAGTGGCTGGAGCCAAGAAGTGACGGGGACGACCGAGGAGGAAGGCAAGTGGGGCCCTCGAAATCGCCTTCTGCCGGCGGCGCTGGGTGGGGGCGGCCCGGCCCCTGCTGTGGGGTTGCCACGGGCGGCGCCTGGGAATCGGGAGCCCGCGGTCCCGGAGCTGGAGGGCCCGCCCCGCCCCGCCCCCAGGTCAGCCAGCGGCCTCTGGCCGTGCCGGCTGTGGCGGCAGCCTCTTCTCCGGGAGTCGGAAGTCCAGACCCCGTTTGTAATGACCTGCAAAGGCCCCTCTTACACCGCCCGCGCAGTGGTGTCCTGCTGAAGACCTCCTGTGATGCACTGCAGCCCCGGAGCCGCTGTCGCGGGAAGAGCGGCCCAGTGGTCGCAGGCTATGGGAGGGGCCGGCTTTCGTGGCCGGCCTTGGCGGGGGCCTCCTTCTAAAACATGGGGGGAAACAGAGCGGCTCGCCAGGCTGCCAGGGGCCCCCGCCGGGCCGTGCCTTTGGACGGACGGCCAGAGTTCAGTTCTCCCTCGGGGCAACCTCTTTGCTCAGCCCTGCTCCGCCCCCTTGCTGTCGCGGCCTCCCGGGTGACCTCCTGCTCCTTCGGCCCAGTGTCTCCTGCGGGCTCTTTGCTCTTCGTGCTCTGGCCAGGGCCTGACGTCACGGTCGCCGCGGTGCCCGGAGTCGCCGCCAGCGTTTCAGCGGGCTCACGGGCTCACCGTCTCAGCCACTCGGCCGAGATGAAGCGGCCGAACAGTGGACGCTGCCGGGCCCCTGGCTGGTTAAATCCAGTCGACACTCACTGGGCACGGTCACCAGGAGGAAGCTTTTGCCTTCGTTTTCCTCCATGATGGTTTAGGGTTCCCGGAGAAATTAATGAGCACGCACCCACCCGCCCCCAAGAAACCCTCACGTCCCCTGTGCTCGCTCGCGCACGACGGGTTCCGTGTTCGCACCCACGTGCCAGTTAGCACGACGCATCGCAACCCTCTCTGAACCGCTCGGAAACTCCCAGGTGGAGCACTGCCTCTTCCCTCTGGGGTGATGGGGATGTCCGCCCACGTGTGAGCACGTCAGTGCCTGCCACGGCCACACGTGACGTGTTCGAATTCACGCCCGGCTTTGTTTCCCGGAAGCGCGTGAGCGTGGGCAGCTGCCCCGCTGCTCCGGGCTCCAGGCTCGGGGCTGACGAGGTCGGGGTTCCCAGCTGCGGGGCTGACGAGTTGGGGATCCCAGCTGCGGGGTCGTGGGGCCATGGGGTCCAGTCGTTCCGCCGGGAGACGCGGACCTCCCTGGTCGGTGCGATGCCGGCCCCGCCGGACCCCGTAGCAAACCCTGGCCGGCTGCCCAGGTCACGGTCACCGCTGCCCAAGGGTGACCGTCCTGCTGAGCCCCCCTCTCGTCCCCACAGCTCCCTTCGGCCTGGACGTGTGGAGGGTCCTCGGCCCGGCCCAGGCAGACGGACGGCGGCTCGTGGACCTGCAGTGGAAGGTGACCGCGCTCGGGGTCCTCTCTTTACTTAGAGCCCTTGGTCTCTTATTCCCGGGAGAACTGGGAGAATTCTCGAACTTTGACCTCCCGAACCTCCCTCCCACGAGGCCCCGTGATGCCCGGTCTCGCCTGGCTCCCCAGCTCGCACAGCCTGCAGGCGCCTTGTGGACGGCCGGGGAGTGCGTGGCCACTGTGGCCCCTCCGTCCTTCCGTCCGAAGCACGGGCGTCTGCGGCGGGTGCCCGGTCAAGTGCAGGAGGCCCCTCGGCCCCTGCTGAGAGCCCCCGCGGGCTGGCCGGCTCTGGGGGCGGGGGGAGGGCGCAGAGCCCACAGCCCCTGGGGTGTCCTCGGGCCACTGCAGAGGCGTGTCCCTGCGTGGGGGGGCGGGCACAGCAGCACGGAACAGGCCGAAGAGTCCTCTCTGGGGTGGGGGGTCCTGGGGGGGAGGGGGGAGGAGAGTCAGGCGGGCAGGGCAGGGGCGAGGGAGGGGGAGCAGGGTGGAACGGAGGGGAAGGGGAGGGGAATCGGAAAGGCGAGGGGCAGCTGGAGAAGGAAGCCAGTCCCGGAGACAGGGAAGGTGGGGCAGCTGAGGGGCACCCGGGGGCAGGGCGGGGAGTGTCCGGGGGGGTGGGGTGCTGTGCCCCCAAGTCTCAGTGAGTGCCGGCGCGCTCTCCCTGGTGTGCCAAGGTCCCGCGAGTTCAACGTGCTTTTGAAAAAGGAGAAATCGCCCAGCTTTGCTAGACGACCTTCAAACCCCCCCACTGCAGGGGCAGTCAGAGCATCCTCTGACCTTGGGCCTTGCTCCTCCCTGCCCCTCCCCTCCCCTCTTCCAGAACTGGGGGCTCCCTCGGCGGCGGAGGGACAGGGTGCCCGGTCAGTGGGGCCAGCCCCCTGGGGGTAGGGGAAGCCAGTCATGCACACCCCACAGGTGACCACAGGTGGTCAGCCAACAGGCAGTGGGGCAGGTGGGCCACCTGCGAGGGAGGTGACGACGGGCCGGGAAGGCAGCCCCGGGCCGGGAGGGCAGCAGACGCAGGGACCCCGAGGCCCCGTCTGGGTGTCATCAGAGCAGGAGGTCGTGCCGCCCCTCGGGAAAACCTCCGGCTGATGGCCCCCGGCATCGGGCTGAGAGGAAGAGCTCGCCTGGGAGCCCCTGGGCCACCTGAGGCTGCGCACTGGGGACTGGGGCCGGGAGGCCCCCGCCTCAGCTGGGGGTGCCGGGCACCTGTGCTGGGGAAGCAAGCCTCCTCCGCAGCGGGGGGCGGGGATAAGAAGTGACTGCCCGGGACCCTCCAACCCTGGGCTCCCAGGCACGGGGTGCCCGGGGCCAGCACAGACGTGGGGCTGGCAGAGCTGCTTGGTGACACTCTCCGCCCTGTGGGCTGGAGGGGAAGAGACAGCCGACAGGTGGGTGGGGGTCCTGCGTGCACGGGCCCAGGCACTGCCCTGGTCTGGCCCCACACCTTAGGCGTCTGTTAGCGCGGAGACCAAGGGCCCTTGCCGCAAATGCCCCTGAGGGTTCGATGTCACGGCACGGGCCGTGTGGTTCGCGCCAGTTCAGCATCGGAGAGTTGGCGTCACCCCGCCCCTCCTCACCCCATCCAGCACCAGCTCAGGGCTTGTCTCTCTCTGTTTTTGGCGACAAACTCGGGCTGCTCTGCGTGCAGAAGGCCCGAGGAACCCCACTCCTGGAGAGGACGCTCGGCTACCTCGTGCGGTACTTTCCGGAAAACGGCGCTCACCTCGCACGGACCAATGACACCACGGACCAGCACCTGGGGCTGCACCTGGGCCGCGAGGCCTACCGGGTGTCCGTGGTTTCCTACAACTCTCTCGGACAGGGTCCCGCGGCCACCCTGCGGGTCCCCGCCGTCGCCGAAAAGCGTGAGTGCCGCACCCACACCCCCCCACCCCCAACGCCTGCCCCTGGAGGCGGCGGTGACGGCGGGGAGAGCCCCTCGCCTCTCGGGGGTCGCTGCTTCTCCTGAGTCCCGAGGAAAACCAAGTGGGGGCTTTTAGGTTCTGTGGGAAGGGCAGAGCCTTCCGGGGACTGACGGCCCGTGAAGCAGCACCTGGGGAGCAAAGCCCCCATGAGAAACCAGCCCCCGTGAGGCGCCAGGCTGCACCACCAGCCCCCGAGATCCCCCGGCAGCTGCGTTTGTTTCGGCCCAAACGGTTCTGAGTGTGGCCGTCATTCGGAAGCTGTGACGTTTCCTCGGGCCCCTCTGGGAAGGGGGTCTGGGACCGGGCCGGTGCGGGGCTGTCTGGCAGGTGCACAGCCCTGGGCCGTTCCAGTGCCCGTCACCTCACCCCCCACCTGCCCCACCCCCGCCCCACCTACTCCGGGCACCGGGCCCAGGCTTCCGGCCGCTGGGGCTTTGCAGGTTTGCTGGGGGCACCATCCCTGCGTCTGCCCCCCGCCCCCGCCAGGACTTCGTGTTCACTTAGACACACACACAAGGCTGCAGGCCCTGACCCCGAAGGCTCTGGTGGGGGCGGGAGAGCAGCAGGGGCGGCGAGGGGGGGCGGGCGTCTGTGATCTCCTGAGCCCCCGCCCCGCCCCGCCTCCCTGCACCTGCAAACAAGACAGACCTCTCGTTCCGACTCCCTTTCACACCCGGGGTCGAAGCCTTCCTGCTAAAGGGGTCCCTGTGGCCTGTTTCCAGGCCTGGGCTCTCCCCCGGGCGGGCAGGATGCCGCTTACGTACTGGTGGACAACTCGGCCCTTTGGTCGGGTGCGTCTGTGTCCTTCTGGGACAGACACAGGTCTCACGGCCCGGGGACAGGCCTCTATCGCCAGGTCGGGCGGGGCCCACTGAGACACGTGACATTGGAAGTCGCCCCCTTGGTGTGATTTTCGGGCCCCCCCCCCTAGCTTCCCAGCCCCACAACGGCTGGTGCCCAGAACCCTCCCGTTAGAGACCCATTCTCTCCCCTCTGGCTTGTGTCCCTCGGGCTTGCAGGGACAGCTGCGGGAGGTGGGGCCCTGGGTCGTCAGCACGGCAGTGGGGGTGTGTCTGGGGAGACAAGGAAGGGTTCAGAGGGCACTTCATCATCGAGGGCGGGGTGGACAACAGAAGGGGAGAAACCCCCCCAGGGGGCCTGCGGTGGTGGAGGTCCTGAACCCCGACCTCCTTCTTCACGCCCTGGGCAGTGCCCGATGCTGACCTGGTGGGCGTGTCGGGAGGGGTGCCGGGCGGCCGCGAAACGCCCTTCTCTCTGCCCCCAGCGGTCCCGTGCATCGAGGCCGTGCAGACCCACCTCGCGGGGGACCAGCTGGTGGTGACGTGGGAGAGCTCCGCCCCGGACGTGGACACGTGGGCGGTGGAGTGGCTCCCAGACCTGGAGTCCGCCGCCCTGCGCTGGGAGCTGGTGTCTGGGGCCCGGAACTGGACGGTCCAGCGAGGTAGCCCCCGGCTCCACGGGCTCCCTCCAAGTAGGGCCCGGCTCCGCTTCCTCCTGTTCCTTAGTCTTGAGCGAGGGCTGCAGAGCTGTGACCGGGGCTGGTGGCACCGGACGGCCCCGGAGCCCACGTTTCTGGGCGTTCCCCCGCGGGGCTGGGCCAGGACGCCGGGCCGAGTCTCCGGCAGGTTTCCGGGGGAAACGCCACCTCAGGACCTGCCGTCCGAGAGCCCTTCCCAGGCGTCTCGACCACGTGATGACACAGAGTGTGCAGCCCAGGGCACCCCTTCCGCTCTGGCTGCCTGTGTCTGAGCCGGGCCCCTTCCCCGGGGGACGGTGACAAGGCACCACCACGCTTCCAGGCCGTCCCCGACCCTCAGAGGACACACGAGTGAGGGGGCTTTACCCTCCCGACCCCGTTGGCCCGAACTTCTCCCCACGCAGCCGCACCTGCATGAAGGCCTGCGCCCCAGGCAGGGCGGCAGGCGGGCGGAGCCAGACCGCACGGCGCCCGTGCAGAGGGCGTGGGGTGCTGTGGGCCGCCCCCGAGTCGCCCAGCACAGCCCACGCCGGGGACGGCCCGGCCTCTCGTGTCTGCCCTCCTGGGTGGCCCTGTCATCTCATGAGGGTGGTGCAGGTTCAGTTTTAGGAATTAAAATACCAGGGCCAGCGTGGACGCCAGAGGCCGTCCAACCCAGCCTCCTTATTTCTGGATGAGGAAGCGGAGCAGGTGCCGTGAGTCCTGGGTCGTAACCCTTGGCCCAGCGTTCTCGCCACACACCACACTCGGCACCCAACGCCCTCCTCTCTCTCTCTCTCTACAGCCAGGTTGCCTTTCTGGTGCTACAACATCTCGGTGCACCCGCTGCTGCGAGACCGAGTGGGCGAGCCGTACTCCACCCAGGTCCACTTCGAGCAGGACGGTGGGTGTGGCCCAGGTGCTGGGCAGCGGGGGCAGGGAGCGCGGGGGCCCCGTGGGCCCCCCATCCGGCACGCAGCCGAGGCTGCGAAGCTGTGCAGCGGTCCCGTGTGCCCGACGCCGCGGCGGCCGGGTGAGCGAGTCGCTGAGCCTCAAAGCGGGGGGGACACCAGACAGCACCGGGTCCGAGCCCCCGGGCTCACAGGTGGGAAACAGGCTCGGAGAGGAGCTGAGGGCAGAGGCGACGTCGAGTGAGGGCCGAGCTAGGGTCCCTGCGGAGTTTACCGTGAGTCGGAGACGCTGCTGACAGACTGTTCTGACTGCCTAGCGACAAGCAAGGGTTTTCCCCGGCGAAGTTCTCAGGCCCCGCGGTTATCTTTGTGGAAGTTAACGCCTTCCAGCTCCGACAGCGGGCGGTGTATCTTGTCACTCGGAGCAGCCCGTGGAGACACGCCCTTCCACTGCTTGGTCGTCGCCGGGGCAGGTGTGAGAGAGAGAGAGCTGGGCGTCAGGGCAGGGCCAGGGGTCCGCAGAAGGCCCCCTTCCCCTCCTTTTCAAGACGGAGGAGCCGGCAGGGCGGCTCCCTCCTCCGGCCCGGCCCCCGACACCGCCTGGGCCTGCGTGCTGGATGGGGCCCTGCGGGGAGGGGACCTGCTGCGCCTCCGCCCTGTTCACGGTCCGTCCCCCGTCCCGTGAAGCCCCGTCCGCAGGTCCCGTGGCCAAGGTGGAGAACATCGGCGTGAAGACCGTCACCGTCACGTGGAAGGAGGTCCCCAAAAGCCAGAGAAACGGCCTCATCAGAAACTACACCATCTTCTACCAAGCCGAGAACGGACAGGGATTCTGTGAGTCCGCTCGTGCCAGGCAGAGAAACCCCACGACCCCGGGCAGAGGTGACAGCGGGCCTGATGGGGCTGCCTGGCTGGCAACCCTCGGCGTCCGGGGGCCTCCCCGAGAAGGGGGCCGAGGGCACCGGCCTCCCCCGGCTTTCGGAGTCGGCCGAGTGGAGGGTCGGCGCCGGAAAGGCCTGCAGCAGCCGGGGTGTCAGCTCGATTCGCCCCGGTCGGGGGGCGGGGACGGGCTCCCTCCCGGGGGCCTCCTGGCCGTTGTTCCACACGGGGCTTCCCTGGGCTGGGGGGGGGGTGCGGATCGACCCGGCGGGTGGCTCTCACCCCAGCGAGGGACCTTCGCCGCGCCTCCTGCTGTCCCCGCCCCGCGACACCTTCTCCTCGGACTCACAGTCTCCGCCGACGTCCCCGTTCCCGGCCCAGGCTCAGACTTCTGTTCTGTTCTGGCCGATTCTTTGCTCCGACCCGACACCTGTAAATGCGCCCCGTCCCCGTTTCACGGTGTGCGGTCGGGGCGCTGAGTGTGTCCGTGCCGCTGCGTGCCCGCCACCCCACCCGTGTCCTTCCCGAGTGGCGCTCGGCCTTCCGTGTCCGGCTTCCTCCGCTTCTCCCGGTTTCCCTCGTGGTGGCGCGAGCCAGCGCCTCGCTCCCTCTCACCGCGAACGGTGTCCATCATGCACCGTTTCTCCGTCGTCCGTCCGCGGACGTTCCGGGTGTCTCGGCCTCTCGGGCGCCTCCCCGGGGGGTCTGGGCGGGAACCTCTGCACACAGACACCTGCCCGAGCCCCTGCATGTGGCTCTGCTGTGGGGTGCACCTGTCTGACGGCTGCCGTCCAGCTCCCTGGACCCCCTCCCCGCCACCCCCGACTTCTGCGCTGAGGCGTGAGGGTCCCGACTTCCCCACGTCCTACCGACCCTCGTGACGTTCTGTTTAAAACACCGTTGTGGGTTCCTAGCGGGAGCCGTGCAAAGGGCTGTCCTGCCGTGGTGTCGACGTGCACCCACCTTCCCAGGAGCCCACGGGGCGGGGCAGGGCGTCCTCGCTTGCTGGCCGTCCGCCCGTCTTCGGGGGTCTTCTCCCTCTCCGTGCCCATTTTCGACCTGGGCCGCCGTTCTGTTTGCCAGCTGCGAGGGATTGTGTGTGTGTGTGTGTGTGTGTGCTCTGCCCCCACCTTCCACACGCCCGGTCGGAATCAGCGTTTCCCGTTCGTTCCGTGGGTGGCTGTTTCCCTCTGACAGCGTCTTTGATGCACAAGAGCTTCCAGCGTCGGCGGAGCCCGGTTTAACCTGTTTCCTCCCATTGCTGTGCTGCGTGTTTGGTGCTGGACCCCGGGAACCCTTGCCCCGGGGTGGGGGGAGGGGGCTCGCAGTGGGGCTGGCTCCTGACGTGCCCACCCCTGACGCCCCCGCCCCCCACAGCGCGCACGGTGGAGCCCGGCACCCTGCGGTACGGCCTGGGGTCGCTGGCGCGAGGGACGCCCTACACTCTGCGGGTCATGGCCAGCACCCGGGCCGGCGGCACCAACGGCACCAGGGTCAACTTCAGGACGCTGTCCGTCAGTGAGTGTTTGCTCCCAGCCCCCGCCGGCCGGCCGGCTGCCTCAGCTCCTCTCGGGGTGGGGGGCGGTGAGGGGCCGTGTCCCCCAGGGTCGAGGGGAGCTGGCGGAGGGAGGGCACCCCGAGTGACCGACCAGAGCATCCGTTCCCGAGCTCCTAGCCTTCCTGGAGGGCGTGCGGGTGCGGAGGGCAGGGGGCGCGGGCGGACCACGGGCCGGACCCGGAGAGACGGGCATCTTGCTGCTTCCTCGGGCGAGGCCCCCCGTCACCTTGAGGAGGGGGTTGGGGTTCGAGCTGCGTTCACTCTCAGCCCCAAGCCAGAGCCCCCCCGCCGAGGCTGTCCCCGGGGCCACAGCCACCCCTTCCATGTGTCCCAGGTCGCTGCATGGCGGGGCCTCGCAGGGGACGTCTGGGTGGGACAAGCACCGCGGGCCCACGGGAAGGGACTCAACCTCAGCGCGTTCGGAGTTTTTCAAAGCAGAAATGCGCAAACCGTGTTCTACTCATCAGCTTTTACCTTAAAAATAGGAAGCAAGAAAAAAAATTTTGTTAAGATTTTATTTATTTTTAGGGAGAGGGGAAGGGAGGGAGAAAGAGGGCGAGAAACATTAATGTGTGGTTGCCTCTCACTCGCCCCTTATTGGGGACCTGGCCCACAACCCAGGCATGTGCTGTGACTGGGAATCGAACCAGCGACCCTTTGGTTCTCAGGCTGGTGCTCAGTCCACTGAGCCACACCAGCCAGGGCTGACCCGTGCGTGCTGGCAGGCCAGCAGGAGCCCCGCCCCGGCCCACCCTGGCCCCCTCTCCCCCGCAGGTGTCCTGGAGGTCTGCCTCATCACCACGCTGGCTGGCGGCGGGCTGCTCATCCTCACCGTCCTGGCGGTGGTCTACGGCTTCAGAAGACCCAAGTGAGCTGTCGGCCAGCAGCGTGTGCCCTGGAGACCCGGGGCTGGAGATGGTGGGGGGTGGGGGTTGCGTCGGGGAGGGGGAGGGCCCCCCAGCACAGAGGAGGTGTCCTCCATTCCCTGGTTCACAGCTGCTGAGCACCCCGCCTGCCCCCCGCCAGGTCACCGGGCGCTGTGGAGTGCCAGCGCCCCCCTAGGCTTTATCTGCTGCGTTGGGCGTCGGAGGCCAGAGCTGGGGAGCAGGCCCTCCCTCTCAGTGTCCAGAGGGGCCCCTGGGGGCAGCAGGGGGACTCCAGGCGGGCAGAGCCTGGCGCAGGGAGCCCGTGGGCCATGGAGTTAGGCGCCGGCGCAGACTGCTTCCCCTGCGGCAGTGTCTGGGGAGGGGGGCTGCCTGGCCCCCGGGCGCCGTCCCGCCTGCCCCAGCCACTCTGGGGAGGGAAGCTTGCCTTCAGGGTGTCGTGCTTCTCGCCCCAGAGCACCGCTCGCTGCCCCGAGGTCAAGGGCTCCCCGCCCGGCCGACCTCTCCTCACAGAACTGCCCCCCCCCCACCGCCCCCACCGCGGGCCGTCTCTGCCCAGCAGCTGCGCTCAATTATGGGCGCACTGATGTCAACCTCGGCCCCGCACGCAGACTGTCACCCGGCCCCCGCACTCATTCTTGGGCACTTGGCACGCCCAGCAGGTCCCTGGCGGGGGGGCGGGGGGGGGGGCGTGCCGCCGCCACTGCTGGGCGGGGCCCCGTCTCGGGAATCTGGGGCACGAATCTCGCAGCGACGGCCCTGGGTGGCCTGGCGTCTGGGGCAGGGAGAGCTCCGCGGGGGGACAGGGCTCTTCCCGCGTCGCCCCCAAGGTCGCCCCATGCCACTCGTTTCCCGGTTTGAGTCGGGGGCTGGGAGCCGCCCCTCCGGGCTCGGCCGAGGGGTCCCTGCAGAAGGCTCCCTGGGGACTCAGGCCCGTCTGGGCACCTCCTCTCTTTCAGCAAGCTGAAGCGGCTGTGTTGGCCGCAGGTCCCCAACCCCGCCCAGAGCAGCCTCGCCACCTGGCGCTGGGACGGCCTGCAGGTGAGCCCGTGCTCCTGGGGGGGGGGGGGCGGCCCTGCAGGGCGCAGCCGGGGGCACGGTTCCCGCGGGCTCGGGCTCAGCCTGAGCAGGGCAGGGCCCGGCCCCACAGAGCGAGGGGAGCGAGAGCAAGACGCTCGTCCCAGGGCCTGGCTGTCTGATCAGGGAGCGAGGGGCCGGCTGTCCGGGGCCACTGGACAAACAGTCACGGCCACTGAGGGGCCGCCTGGAGACCTGGGAGGACCCGCTGTGTGTGGGTCGGGGGAGGGGGGACGGAGGGGGGATGGTGGGGGGGCCCCGAGCTGCCTTCCGGGCGGGGATTACCGTCACCACACTTTGGCAGCGGGGATTCCGGTGCCCGACTCATCAGTGGAACCCTCTTTTTTTTTCCCCCGTAAAACTTAAAACTGAAAACAGTTCTGAAACCTTGAAGGTTGAATTCCTTGCTTAAGTGAAAATAAGCCCAGTCACACGGGACTTTTAAATTGTTACCATTAAAAGGTCGTGTCCGGCATCTCTTGGGGCAGGAATCTTGACTGTCACCCCTCGTTCCAACTCAGAAGTCTCTCTTTGGACGTGGACACTGAAAAACTATTTTTACGTCTATTCGAACTTTGGTTCCTTGGGTTCCATTTCCTCCTCTCTCTTACCAGCCTTGTGTGACCCCGTTCCCCTTCCTGCCCATTAAACGTAACTAAGGGAGCAGGCAGCCCACAGGCAGGGCCGGCCGGCCGGGGCCGACGCCGCTCTGGAACCAGCTGCAGGTCCTGGGGCCGCGCCAGGCGCTGGGCTGGCTCTGGGGGGCACAGGTGGCGGAGAAGACACCGTCCCTGGCACGGGCCGCCTGGGGCTCCTGGGAGGCCGGCAGGTCCCTGGGGCTGTGACTGTGGTTTTCCCAGCTGTGAGCGCCCTGCGACACTCCGGTCCGGGCTGGGCTTTGTGGGCGCAGAGCTGAGGGCTGGGGGGCCTCGAGTCCCCTGGAGGCAGCCGCTGCCTGATGCACTGCGCCCTCCCTCAGACCCGGCCGCTCCTGCCAGCCTTCCCAGAGGGGCGCATGGAGGGGGCGCCTCCCCTCTGGTCTCAGGGGGCCGGTGGGGGGCTGGTCTCAGGCGGGGCCTCGGTGCCCCAAGCCTATGGGCTTTCGGTTCCATTGTGCGTAGCCCCCCATGACCCTCCGGCGCCCCTCTCTCTTCAGACGAAGCTGCCCCAGAAGCTGTTCGACGACTCCGTGACCGCGGAAGGCAGGGCGCTCAAGCCGCGCCCTGCCCCCAGTGACCTCATCGACAAGTTGGTGGTGAACTTCGGGAGTTTTCTGGAAGAGGTTTCCTCGGAGGAATCCGGAAAGGGCCGGGAAAACATTTTGGGAGGGGAGAACAACGAGTACGTGACCTGCCCCGCCAGGCCTCCCTGCCCCCCCGGAAGGAGTCCCGGGGGGCCCCCCACGGCGGCCGAGGCGGCACCCGGGAAGCCCCAGCCCGGGGGGTCCGGGCGGCAGGCGGGCACCGGCCCCGGAGACAGTCAGCCGCTGCCCCCTGCACAGGGCGCCGGGCCGGCCCGCGTGCCCGGGGAGGGGGTGCCCAACCCCTACCTGAAGAACTCCGTGACCACCAGAGAGTTCCTCGTGTCTGAGACGCTTCCGGACCACGGCCGGCGGGAGACCTAGGCGCCCCGGGGCTCGAGGCCTCTGCGTCTCGGCACCCGACCCTGCAGAGGGGACAGCGGCCCGGCCGGGGAAGCTTCCCCAGCCGTCCTGCCCTGCCCTGCCCCCGCCCCCGGCCCCCACCCATCGGCAGCTGCGACGGCCGGCCCCCGGATGGCCAGGCTGGCACCGACACGACCCACCCGCACCTCACCCTGGAGAAGCCGTCTGCGTCCTTGGGTGCAGCTGATTCGCTCTCACAGAGGACGGCGGCCAGCAACTTGCAGGGACAGACCGGCCTTCCCAGGAGTTGGGTCAGGGTCCTGCCCTGGCTGGGCCTGCTCCTCAGACAGAGCTCCAGCATGGCCAGGGGGCAGCCCGGTGGGAGGGGGTGGGAGGGGGCGTCTCTCTTCCATCACCTTGGCTTCCTGGGGCTCCGGCCGGCCGGCCCCCCAACCCGATTTGGCCCTGAAATCTCCCGTTTCTGTCCTTCCACGTGGGGGCGAGAAGCAGATCCGCCCTGTTGGAGGCCCAGGCCCCCGTCCCCCTTGTTTAGCCTCGAGCACCCTGCACGGCGCCCCACCCTCCCCTGAGGGTTCTCGCCCAGCACGCCACGTGGGGTCCCACAGCTCCGCCGCTCTCTGGGCCCCAGCCCGCCCCCCACTGCCCGGTGCTGGTCCTGCTGCCCTCCGTGTCGCACCCCCGTCTGGGGCAGAAGGACACCCCACGCTCCAGTGGCTTTTGTCCTCCAACCTCCGCTGGCTCAGAGCCCAGGGCGCCGACGATACCCCCTCGGGGGCCTCTGCCCGGAAGCGGCCGAGCGGCAGGGGCACCGAGGTGGGCACCGCAGCTGCCCTGCGGCTCCCGCCGTGACTCCTCCGGCCAGGGCCGGCCCAGGCGCAGGGAACCGGGGGTGTGCCGGCCCGAGGGTGGCTGTGAGGAGTCGGCCACCGGCTCAGCTGTGCAGGACCTGGAGCTCGCTCCCACCCCGGGGCCCTGACACCGAAGGACCCGCAGCCCGGGGCGCGGTTCCCGCCGGTTTGGGGCTCGGACCCTGTCCACCCCTGGACGGCCCCTGAGCGCAGAGGGTCGGTGGGCGCAGCGTCCATCCCCGTTCGGTGTCCGCCCCAGGCTGGTGTGGGGCGCCTGTGGCCCCACCTGCCCTGCGGCGTCCCTGGCCACCTTCCTCCGCCGGTGGCTGCGTCCTGATGGGTGCAGAGGCCAGCAGGGCCGCTGCCCCGAAGCTCTCTGCCCTCCTTCAGCCTCAGATGCGGGCAGCACCCGCCCCAGGCCCCCTTCCCCCCGGCTCACAGTGCAGCGACCGGCGGGGGCGGGGGGTGGGGGGCCTGGGGCGGGCGCTGCCCTGTGTCCAGGGCCGCAGGAAGGGATCCCGCAGAGGGATACACCGCTGTGGGGGGCTCTCTGCCCTGACACCCACCGCCGCTGTGCGGTCGGCACTTCTGGGAACCGCCTGTCCCCCAGGGCCCCCGAGGGCCCCTCCTTGTCCCACCTTTGGTTGTGAACGTGCCGGAGGGGCAGCCTGCACCCACACGGTTCTCTCTTCCCCGTGACCCTCTGCCCACCTCCGCTGGGGGACCTCCTCGGAGTGTGTAACGTGGGGATGGCGTGCTGGGAGGGCGTCCCCTCCCCCACCACATCCGTCTGCCCCTGGGTGCGGCTCTCGGAGCTGGAGTCCACCAGTCTGATGGCGGGGCCGCCAGCAGGGGACCCAGCCGCAGCTGCTAGTGGGTTTCAGAGCCCGCGCCGCCCCCTCTGCTCTCCCTCCCGCCTCTCCCCTGACCCCGCCTCTCCAGCGCCCCCCCCACTCCCTGCCCCGCCCCCCTCCTGCAGGCTGGCCTCTTCCTTTTTCTCGTTCCTTCTCTTCCCGTTCCCTCCCCCTTCCCGTCAGCTTCCTCTGACCATTGTCCACATTTGCTGCCTTTGCAGAGGCGGGGGCGGTACTCTGGGAGGCCTCGTCTTAGACGGGTGGCGGGGGGCTTCCCCGAGGGGCCAGCGTTTCCAACAGGACAAGGGGCAGTGTTCCCCGGGGCTCCGGAAACTTGCCAGAGGCCCCAGCTGGCCGCTCACGGCAGAGCCACAGGACGTGGCGGCTGCCGGTGACCGTCCTGTCCCTGGCCCGGCGTCCTGGGCCGCCCCTGTGGCCAGGCAGGCTCCCTGCAGGTCCCCTGAACGTTGGAGACACCGAGAGGCCATGGCAGGACCCCCAGGTCTCAGCGAGGTCCCTGGAAGCTGACAGAACCCCGTTTCCCGGGGCTCCGGGGGCCACTGCGGCAGTGCCCAGCGACACCTCCCTCGTCCAACAACACAGAAGCCAGGCTGGGGGGAACCGGGGTGACAGGAGGGGGTCGGGCCAGGCCCAGCCCCCCGCCCCCATGGCTGCTGCTCCCTGTGTGGGGAAAGCCCTCCCACCCCGAGCCCCAGAGGGGACTCTGTCCCCCACCCCCAGCCCTCACAGCTTCCTGTCCCCGCCACAGCTCAGGGGGTGCTGGGGGGTCTCTCCTTCGCTTCTGTCAGTGGTTCTCCATTGGGTGACTGCCCCCACCCCCGACATTTGGGGTGCTGCTGGCACTTGGTGGGTCGCAGCCCGTCATCAGCCTGGGGCACCCGGACCAGCCCGACCATGAGGTGTCACCCCTAGGGTCAGCCCCCAGCGCCCCGGGCCGGTTCTGTGGGTGGTGGGGTTGTGCGCGTACTGAGCCCCCTCCTCGCCCCAGGCAGCCACCTGGTCCCCAGGGCCCGAGGCTCCGGCACGCCCGGCCCTTTCCCACCGGGAGTCGCCGTCCCTGCGGCCCGGGGTGTGGCCCCCCTACTGCGAGCCGTCGGTGCAGCTGCCCCGGGGTCCGCGCGCCGCTGGCGCCGCTCCCAGGCCGACCACCCCACCCGTGTTCGCTGTCTGCACGTCTGCCTCGACCTTCCGGGGCTCGGAGCCGCCCCGGGCTTTGCCGTGGGAGGCGCAGCTGGGAGGGCCCCCGCAGCCCCCGCACCCGGAAGCAGGGCCGTGACGTCATCGGGTGGGCGGGGACAGCCTCTGGAACGCGCTGTAACCAGGCCTCTTGCGTCTGACCTTGCAAATAATAAAGCTGCAGCACCGCTTTAACGCAAGGTTGCACTGCCGGTTTACCGTTTCACCTGCGCAGGTGTTAGAACTCGACTTCAGAACGCAAAGTCCGGCGCCGTTAGAGGGCGGGAGTGTCCTGCTGCCGGTGCCCAGGAATGGGAGAGGAGACCTGTCCCGCGGGGACCCCGCGGGGCCCCGCAGCCCCCTCTGTGGTCTTCCCCTCTCGTTCCCCACCGCAGCGTTTCCACGGTCCTTCCAGCCCCCCCCCGGGGTTCCCTCCCAGCGTCCCCCTGCTGCTCTTGCAGATGGCCTGGCCCCCACTTCCTGGAGGACGTGCCCCCGCCCCCGTTGCTGGCCCACCCCCTTCAGGTTGGACTTTGGGGACGGGCTCAGAGGTGGAGGTGGCCCAGCTCATGCCCCCCATCCCCCACCCATTTTGCACTTGTCCCTTCTGCCTCTGGACTCGCTTGGGTCCCCCCCACAAGGAGAGGGGACAGAGGGTGCACTGTGGTCCTCGCCGCCCCCCCCCCAGCTCCTCACTCCCCGAAGATCAGCCCGAGGTCCGAGGCCGGGGCAGAGCGAGCCTCGTGCCTGTAGCAGCTTCCCCAGGGAGACAGCTGCGTGGCTGGAACTTTCCAGAGAGACAGAAGGCAAGCACTGCCGAGCAGACAACTGGGGAGGGGGTGAGGACTGCGGGCTGGCCTCCTGCGCCCCCAAGTCTGTCTCCCCGGGGCAGAGCTCAGCCGGGGGCCCCCGGGGGGAGAAGCCGGCTGCCCGCTGACCCTGTGCTGAGGCGACCCTGTGGGTCTGTTCCGGCGTCCGGCCGCGGACGAGCCTTGTCTGCGGAGCCAGGCAGGAGCCCGGCCCGGGCGGGGGTCCAGGCATCCTCTCACCGCCAGTGAAGCCGCCTCGGGGCCCTGGCCCCACTCGGGACCACCCCAGGGTGCTACACTCCAGGCAGGGACAGGCCCTGTCCCATGGAGTGCCGGCGGCGCTGAGAGCGCGAGCCAGGGCACCCTGGGCCCACGGAGCCGCCGGAGCACGGGCCTGGCAGGGGCGGCCGGGGCAGGGGGCCGAGTGCCCGCGGACCCCTTCTCGGTTCAGAACCCCGGTGTCGGCATGGTGTCCGGACAGAGCCGGGCTCCGCTTCCCGGGCAGGCGACCCAGTCGGAGGGCAGCGGGGCGGCCGGGGCCCACGGCGTGACATGTGCGCCCCTCAGGAAAACCCGCCGACCTTGTCAGAGGCCGTTTCCTGCGAAAAAGGCCCTGCTCTGAGCCCGGGAAGCAGCCCGCAGGGTGGGGAAACTCCAGCTGCCTCCCAAATTAATCACAAATACTTCAAATGCTGAGCTGGATGTTTTTTTTCCGTGAGTCAGCCGGGGGTCCAGCCACTCCCAAGACACTCGGCAGCCAGCCTGCTGTCCTCCAGGAAGAAATGTGAGTTCCAGGGAAGGCGCAGGCCGGCTGTGTGCCGACTTCCTGCTGGCGAGAGGGCGGCCCCCAATTCCGGGACGTCTCCCCGCCGCCTTCCAGGAAGGGCCCACACTCCGACCAAGGGGGGCGGCGGGGGCCCACAGACATGCTTCCCATCCCAGACCTCACTCCTCTGTCCTCCCCGGAACCCAGCCCCTCGGTCCCACAAATGAAACAAACCACACCCTCCGAAAACCCCCACACAGAAACTTCCGAGCAGACCACCCCCGAAGAGAACACAGTGAACCCCAAGTCCTGCTGTCCAGTGTCATCCTCGATCCCTCGGCCTCCCGGGCTGGACCCTGCCCTCCACTGGGCGTCCCACCCAGACGCCCGGCCGGCACCTGCCTAGGAGCAGCCGTGGGGGGTGAGAAGTGAGCGGGCAAGTCAGGCGGGCTCCTTGGAGGCAGAGGCCCCAGGTGGGAGGCCGGCCGGTGCCGGCAGAGCGGCCGACAGGGTCCAGCTGTGGGCCCGCAGCCCCTGCTCCCGCGGGGCCTGGCTGCTAAGCTCGAACTTTCTGAGTTCCGC